AAACCAGTATCTGTGACAGTGAAACACAGTATCTGTGACAGTGAAACACAGTATCTGTGACAGTGAAAACCAGTATCTGTGACGGTGAAAACCAGTATCTGTGACAGTGAAACACAGTATCTGTGACAGTGAAAACCAGTATCTGTGACAGTGAAACACAGTATCTGTGACAGTGAAAACCAGTATCTGTGACAGTGAAACACAGTATCTGTGACAGTGAAAACCAGTATCTGTGACAGTGAAAACCAGTATCTGTGACAGTGAAACACAGTATCTGTGACAGTGAAACACAGTAACTGTGACAGTGAAAACCAGTATCTGTGACAGTGAAACACAGTATCTGTGACAGTGTAACACAAAATAAGAACCTATATAAATACTAAATACCTACATAAAGAAAGTGTTTGTCCCACTAATGTTTAAGTGCTTTTATTTGCCTTACTTGAATAATGTAGAGTTTCAGTCAGTAATCCTTGTTGTGGCTGACCGGTCTAACTTCTCTGATGGATAAAGAAAAGAGTAAATGGTAACTTTAACTCGGAAAGAAGTAATTAAACAAGGCATGAATTCAACCCGTGCAAGAAAAACCAGTATCTGTGACAGTGAAAACCAGTATCTGTGACAGTGAAAAACAGTATCTGTGACAGTGAAACACAGTATCTGTGACAGTGAAAACCAGTAACTGTGACAGTGAAAACCAGTAACTGTGACAGTGAAAACCAGTATCTGTGACGGTGAAACACAGTGAAAACCAGTATCTGTGACAGTGAAACACAGTATCTGTGACAGTGAAAACCAGTATCTGTGACAGTGAAAACCAGTATCTGTGACAGTGAAACACAGTATCTGTGACAGTGAAAACCAGTAACTGTGACAGTGAAAACCAGTATCTGTGACAGTGAAAACCAGTATCTGTGACAGTGAAACACAGTATCTGTGACAGTGAAAACCAGTAACTGTGACAGTGAAAACCAGTATCTGTGACGGTGAAACACAGTGAAAACCAGTATCTGTGACAGTGAAAACCAGTATCTGTGACAGTGAAAACCAGTATCTGTGACAGTGAAACACAGTGAAAACCAGTATCTGTGACAGTGAAAACCAGTATCTGTGACAGTGAAACACAGTATCTGTGACAGTGAAAACCAGTATCTGTGACAGTGAAAACCAGTATCTGTGACAGTGAAACACAGTATCTGTGACAGTGAAAACCAGTAACTGTGACAGTGAAAACCAGTATCTGTGATGGTGAAACACAGTGAAAACCAGTATCTGTGACAGTGAAAACCAGTATCTGTGACGGTGAAACACAGTGAAAACCAGTATCTGTGACAGTGAAAACCAGTATCTGTGACAGTGAAACACAGTATCTGTGACAGTGAAACACAGTATCTGTGACAGTGAAAACCAGTATCTGTGACGGTGAAAACCAGTATCTGTGACAGTGAAACACAGTATCTGTGACAGTGAAAACCAGTATCTGTGACAGTGAAACACAGTATCTGTGACAGTGAAAACCAGTATCTGTGACAGTGAAACACAGTATCTGTGACAGTGAAAACCAGTATCTGTGACAGTGAAAACCAGTATCTGTGACAGTGAAAACCAGTATCTGTGACAGTGAAACACAGTATCTGTGACAGTGAAAACCAGTATCTGTGACAGTGAAACACAGTATCTGTGACAGTGAAAACCAGTATCTGTGACAGTGAAACACAGTATCTGTGACAGTGAAACACAGTATCTGTGACAGTGAAAACCAGTATCTGTGACAGTGAAACACAGTATCTGTGACAGTGTAACACAAAATAAGAACCTATATAAATACTAAATACCTACATAAAGAAAGTGTTTGTCCCACTAATGTTTAAGTGCTTTTATTTGCCTTACTTGAATAATGTAGAGTTTCAGTCAGGAATCCTTGTTGTGGCTGACCGGTCTAACTTCTCTGATGGATAAAGAAAAGAGTAAATGGTAACTTTAACTCGGAAAGAAGTAATTAAACAAGGCATGAATTCAACCCGTGCAAGAAAAACCAGTATCTGTGACAGTGAAAACCAGTATCTGTGACAGTGAAAACCAGTATCTGTGACAGTGAAACACAGTATCTGTGACAGTGAAAACCAGTAACTGTGACAGTGAAAACCAGTATCTGTGATGGTGAAACACAGTGAAAACCAGTATCTGTGACAGTGAAAACCAGTATCTGTGACGGTGAAACACAGTGAAAACCAGTATCTGTGACAGTGAAAACCAGTATCTGTGACAGTGAAACACAGTATCTGTGACAGTGAAACACAGTATCTGTGACAGTGAAAACCAGTATCTGTGACGGTGAAAACCAGTATCTGTGACAGTGAAACACAGTATCTGTGACAGTGAAAACCAGTATCTGTGACAGTGAAAACCAGTAACTGTGACAGTGAAAACCAGTATCTGTGACAGTTAAACACAGTATCTGTGACAGTGAAAACCAGTATCTGTGACAGTGAAACCAGTAACTGTGACAGTGAAAACCAGTATCTGTGACAGTGAAACACAGTATCTGTGACAGTGAAAACCAGTATCTGTGACAGTGAAACACAGTATCTGTGACAGTGAAAACCAGTATCTGTGACAGTGAAACACAGTATCTGTGACAGTGAAAACACAGTATCTGTGACAGTGAAAACCAGTATCTGTGACAGTGAAACACAGTATCTGTGACAGTGTAACACAAAATAAGAACCTATATAAATACTAAATACCTACATAAAGAAAGTGTTTGTCCCACTAATGTTTAAGTGCTTTTATTTGCCTTACTTGAATAATGTAGAGTTTCAGTCAGTAATCCTTGTTGTGGCTGACCGGTCTAACTTCTCTGATGGATAAAGAAAAGAGTAAATGGTAACTTTAACTCGGAAAGAAGTAATTAAACAAGGCATGAATTCAACCCGTGCAAGAAAAACCAGTATCTGTGACAGTGAAAACCAGTATCTGTGACAGTGAAAACCAGTATCTGTGACAGTGAAACACAGTATCTGTGACAGTGAAAACCAGTAACTGTGACAGTGAAAACCAGTATCTGTGACGGTGAAACACAGTGAAAACCAGTATCTGTGACAGTGAAACACAGTATCTGTGACAGTGAAAACCAGTATCTGTGACAGTGAAAACCAGTATCTGTGACAGTGAAAACCAGTATCTGTGACAGTGAAAACCAGTATCTGTGACAGTGAAACACAGTATCTGTGACAGTGAAACACAGTATCTGTGACAGTGAAAACCAGTATCTGTGACAGTGAAACACAGTATCTGTGACAGTGTAACACAGTATCTGTGACAGTGTAACACAAAATAAGAACCTATATAAATACTAAATACCTACATAAAGAAAGTGTTTGTCCCACTAATGTTTAAGTGCTTTTATTTGCCTTACTTGAATAATGTAGAGTTTCAGTCAGTAATCCTTGTTGTGGCTGACCGGTCTAACTTCTCTGATGGATAAAGAAAAGAGTAAATGGTAACTTTAACTCGGAAAGAAGTAATTAAACAAGGCATGAATTCAACACGTGCAAGAAAAACCAGTATCTGTGACAGTGAAAACCAGTATCTGTGACAGTGAAAACCAGTATCTGTGACAGTGAAAACCAGTATCTGTGACAGTGAAACACAGTATCTGTGACAGTGAAAACCAGTATCTGTGACAGTGAAAACCAGTATCTGTGACAGTGAAAACCAGTATCTGTGACAGTGAAAACCAGTATCTGTGACAGTGAAACACAGTATCTGTGACAGTGAAAACCAGTATCTGTGACAGTGAAAACCAGTATCTGTGACAGTGAAACACAGTATCTGTGACAGTGAAAACCAGTATCTGTGACAGTGAAACACAGTATCTGTGACAGTGAAAACCAGTATCTGTGACAGTGAAACACAGTATCTGTGACAGTGAAACCAGTATCTGTGACAGTGAAAACCAGTATCTGTGACAGTGAAACACAGTAACTGTGACAGTGAAAACCAGTATCTGTGACGGTGAAACACAGTGAAAACCAGTATCTGTGACAGTGAAAACCAGTATCTGTGACAGTGAAAACCAGTATCTGTGACGGTGAAACACAGTGAAAACCAGTATCTGTGACAGTGAAAACCAGTATCTGTGACAGTGAAACACAGTATCTGTGACAGTGAAAACCAGTATCTGTGACAGTGAAACACAGTATCTGTGACAGTGAAAACCAGTAACTGTGACAGTGAAAACCAGTATCTGACGATGAAACCAGTGAAAACAGTATCTGTGACAGTGAAAACCAGTATCTGTGACAGTGAAAACCAGTATCTGTGACGGTGAAACACAGTGAAAACCAGTATCTGTGACAGTGAAAACCAGTATCTGTGACAGTGAAACACAGTATCTGTGACAGTGAAAACCAGTATCTGTGACAGTGAAAACCAGTATCTGTGACGGTGAAACACAGTGAAAACCAGTATCTGTGACAGTGAAAACCAGTATCTGTGACAGTGAAACACAGTATCTGTGACAGTGAAAACCAGTATCTGTGACAGTGAAACACAGTATCTGTCACAGTGAAAACCAGTATCTGTGACAGTGAAAACCAGTAACTGTGACAGTGAAACCAGTAACTGTGACAGTGAAACACAGTAACTGTGACAGTGAAACCAGTATCTGTGACAGTGAAACACAGTAACTGTGACAGTGAAACCAGTATCTGTGACAGTGAAACACAGTATCTGTCACAGTGAAAACCAGTATCTGTGACAGTGAAAACCAGTAACTGTGACAGTGAAAACCAGTATCTTTTTTGTAAAATATTATGCCATATATTAAATAAAGGGGTCACTGAAATGTAAATAAAGCACAGTTTGGCTTTTTAATGTAAAAGGTTGTGCAAAATAGTGTCAAACGAAAAATGTCATCTCATTCCAATGTATTTTTTTTATTTGTGTTGTTGTTTTTGCATATGTAAATGATGTTTGTGTTTATATTTGGGTTACAGGAGGTGGTGGCCCATTGGATAGCGGAGTCTCGCATCGCTATTGAACAGACACGCCTGCTGGCTCTACATGCAGCTCACACACTGGACACGAAGGGGAACAAGGCTGCAAGGAAACAAGTAACACACACACCCACACACACACACTCTCTCACACACACTCACACACACACTCACACACACTCACACACACACACACCGCTCACACACACTCACACACACACACACTCTCTCACACACACTCACACACACACCACACCACACACCCACACACACACACACACACACACACACACACACTCACTCTCCACACACACACACACCCCCACACCACACACCCTCTCACACACACACACCCACACACACACCCACACACACACCCACACACACACACACACACTCTCTCACACACACTCACCACACACACACACCACACACCCCACACCACCCACACACACACCCACCCACACACACACACACACACACACACACTCTCTCTCACACACACTCACACACACTCACACACACACACACACTCTCTCACACACACTCACACACACACACACACTCTCTCACACACACTCACACACACACACACACACACACACACCCACACACACACCACACACACACCCACACACACACACACACTCTCTCACACACACTCACACACACTCACACACACACACACACTCTCTCACACACACACACACACACACACACACACACACACACCCACACACACCCACACACACACACACACTCACTCTCACACACACCCACACACACACCCACACACACACACACACACACACACACTCTCTCACACACACACACACACTCACACACACACACACACTCTCTCTCACACACACACACACACACACCCACACACACCCACACACTCACTCTCTCACACACACCCACACACACACCCACACACACACACACACTCACTCTCTCACACACACACCCACACACACACACACACTCACTCTCTCACACACACACACACACACCACACACACACACACACACACTCACACACACACACAAACACATACACCCACACACCCACACACACCCACACACACACACACACACACACACACACACACAACACACACACCCACACACTCACTCTCTCACACACACACCCACACACACACACACACACCCACACACACACACACACACACATGTACAGTGGCAAGAAAAATTATGTGAACCTTTTTGAATTTTATGGTTTTCTGCATTAATTTGTCATAAAATGTGATCTGATCCCCATCCAAGTCAAGTGTATTGACAAATATAATGTGCCTAAAATAATAACACAAAAAAATATGATCTTGCAGGTCTTTACTGCACACACTCATTCAGCATTCACAGTGGTAGTGGAAAAAGTAAGTGAACCCTTGGAATGAATAGCTGGTTGAGCCCCCCTTGGCAGCAATTACCTCAACCAGGCGCTTCCTGCAGCTGTGGATCAGACCTGCACGTCGTCCAGGAGGAGTTTTAGCCCGTTCTTCCTGGCAGAACTGCTTTAGCTCCGTCGTGTTCCCTGGACGCCTCATGTGTACGGCTCTCTTCAAGTCAATCCATAGCGTTTCTATAGGGTTGAGATCTGGGCTCTGACTTGGCCGCTCCGAAAGGCGGGTTTTGTTTTTCATAAGCCGTTCTGTTGTGGACTCGCTCCAGTGTTTTGGGTCATTGTCCTTTTGCATCACCCAACTTCTACAGAGTCTCAGCTGACGTATGGACACTCTCACATTATCCTGTAGAATTTTTTGATACACTTGGGAATTCATCTTCCCCTGTAAACTGGCCAGGCCCTGATGCAGCAAAGCAGGTCCGAATCATGAGGCTCCCTCCACTATACTTTACGGTTGGGATGATATTTTCATGGTGATGTGCAGTGCCTTTTTTACGCCAGATGCAGCGCTATGTATTCTTTCCAAATAGTTCAATCTTAGTTTCATCTGTCCACAAAACATTTTGCCAATGTTCTTTTTAGTAAGCAGCAGCTTCCTTCGTGGTGTCCTGCCATAGACACCCTGCTTGTTCAAGGCTTTACGGACTGTAGACTCATGAACACAGATGTTAGCCTGAACCAGTGACGCCTTCAAATCTTTGGCTGTCACTCAGGGTTGTTTCTTTACCTCATTGCGTCTCCGTTGTGCTCTTGGGGTCATTTTGACTGGGCGCCCACTTCTTGGCAGAGTAGCCACAGCCCCAAATTGTCTCCATATGTAGATTGTTTGCCTTAGCACATCACCATTACATTAGAGAGATCAGATCTGAGCAAAAAATCAGATTCGAGCAATGAGGCTTGTGATGTGAACGTAGCCATTGGGCCTAAAAATCAGCTTCTGCGACCTTTTCAGCAGCCCAACACATCCCTCTCTTCAGCCATAGTGTGCCTGATACTGCTGCACTCTGAAACCTCCTGCCCGGTTTCATTTCCACTTTCCAAACTCCGGAGTTATTCCGAGCACAGCTATAAGCAATAACGTTGCGAGAGCGAGGATGTTGGCACAATCCTTCAAACAAAAACAAATATACTGCATACAAAATGACTCTTCATAACCCCAAGCCCAGCCTGAGCCTGATGCTGTATGTGAAGAATCAGCTCTAAACTGGCCCGAAAGCGGTCTCGAAAGGTCTGTGGGTTCGAGTCAAAAAACTTGCGTTGTATTATTTGAATAGTCTGTTTTCCACTACTGTGTAAAGCCTTGGGTTCACTACACGACTTTTAGAGTCTTAACAGATCATAAAAGACTGGGCGTCTCACACTACCAGACTGTTTTTTGCGCATATTTTTTTGGGTGACTAAACTGTTTGGGAACCGCACTAAAAGATTAGGGATCACATGCTACTCAACTTTTTAGCTGTTGCTGAACCGAACGGAACTCACTGAACTCATGAGAACTTGTGTGAACACTCGTGTTTTCCCGTTACGAGGCGATGCAAAAAAGCAAAGGTGTAGCAGCTGCTGCTGTTTTCTCTGCTGTTTGCGCTGAAACAGTAAAGAAGCAGCAGGTAAACGTGTTTAATGAGGATCATGGATTTAAAAATGTAATCAGTGTGTAGTTTTTTAGAGTTATAAATGCATATAAACTCGATTGTGCCTTAAACTCAGCTCATTATAAAGCTTTGCTCCACACATGAGTGACTTCTCATCATTTTTCTTTGTTTTCTTGCTGTATTTTCTTCTTTCATGCTCTCAGTTTTCATTGGCTGTTGGAGGAATCTGTTCAGATTGAGTCGTTGATCAGTTTACACTAGATTTCACTCAGAGTTGGGTTGTTTGATAATGTTTGATAAACTCTGACTGGTCTGAAACGCGATCAGAAGGCCCGGCGTAACCCCAGCTTTAATAATTCCTCACATTTGTGTATTTAGCGTATTTTTGGAAATGATTCTGAATCATACCAAAGTAATCAAATCGCACCAATTCTTGGTAAAATGTGAGATTTCATTAGATTTTCATTTTACTAAAGAATCATAATCAAACCACTTCATGATGGAACTTGATTTCATATTAAATTAAATTAGCAGTGGGCAATCTGAGAATATTTTGCTATCATAATAATTTTAATCATTGTGATACATTATATGCTTCTCTGAGCATATTAAGGACACTGACCACCTGCATGCTTTTTGCAGAGGGAGCTAATTAGTCCTGTTTAATTGGTTTCAGTGCAGTACAGAGTGTGAAATGTTTAGTAACGATCAGTTTTTAATTATGGAGCTGCTATTACATTGTGTCTGTCGAAATATCGTGATATGTATCATGTATCGTGAAAATGTCTGTAAATATTGTGATATTTTTTTGCCAGATCACCCACTGCTATGTTGAGTAATTCCTTAAGGAGCCCAAAATATAACAGTGTTTACTGAGGGTTCTGGCTGGTCAGAGTCCAGATTTAAACCCTACAGTGAATATTTGGTCTCACATTAAACTCAAACCAGCTCAGCAGTGTTTTCCAGCTGTGTGAAGCCGTCAGTGCTGAGTCGATCAATACTGACTCTTCTTTCTGTAAAAGACTGTCTGAACATTCACACAATAAACTACAACACTGAAAGAAAAGTAAAAACCTCTCCCATATTAAGTTACTTTATCTACAACCTCATTTCCAAAAAGGTTGGGATGCTGTGCAGAATGTAAATAAAAATAGAATGCAGTGATATGCAAATCATGTTAACTATATTTTCAAAGGAAAATACTACAAAGACAACATAGCAAGTGTTGAAACTGAGAAATTGTATTGTTTTTTTTGAAAAATGTATTGCCATTTTGAATTTGACCACAGGATACTTTTCCACTTCCATTCAGTCCATTTTAAATGAGCTCAGGCCCAGAGAAGGTGGCAGCATTTCTGGATCCTGTGTACATTTGGTTTCTTCTTTGCGTTTTAGAGTTTTTTTTTAGAACTTGCATCTGTGGATGCAGTGATGAACTGTTTTCACAGACAGTGGTTTTCAGAAGTGTTTCTGAGCCCATGCAGTGATTTCCTCTACAGAATCATGTCTGTTTTTAATGCAGTGCTGCCTGAGGGCCCAAAGATCACGGCCAGCAAATACTGGTTTTTGGCCTCGTCCCTTACATACAGAGATTTCTCCAGATTCTCTGTATTGTGACTCTTTTAATGTTATTTTGTACTGTAGATGATGAAAAGCAAAAGTTCTTTGCTATTTATGTTGAGAAACGTTATTCTTGAATTGTTGCACTATTTGATGGTGCAGTCTTTCACAGAGTGGTGAACCCCTCCTCATCTTTACTTCTGAAAGACTCCGCCTCTCTGAGATGCTGTTTATACCCAATCATGTTACTGACCTGTTGTCAATCAACCACCAGGTGTTTTTTTTAGCATTACACAACTTTACCAGCCTTTTGTTGCCCCTGTCCAACTTTTTTGGAACGTGTTGTTGGTGTCAAATTCAAAATGGGCAAATATTTTTCAAAAAAACAATTAAATTTCTCAGTTTGAACATTTGATATGTTGCCTTTGTACTATTTTCAATGAAATATATGGTTTAAATGATCTGCACATCATTGCATTTTGTTTTTATTTACATTTTCCACAGTGTCCCAACTCTTTTGGAAATGGGGTTGTACTTATGTTTTTAAATATTGTGATATTTAACTCTCTACATTGAATAAATTCCTTAAGAATCACTGAGTTCTTGTGAGGTCATATATTTACCACTAATATGCACACACACAAACACACATACAGAGTTGGATGTGAGGTTGAGGTCAGTGGATTTGAACTGCTATCCAGAGAGTGAACTAATATTTCCTAAAAAAAAAATCAGTTCCGGCAGTCTGACTGACCTGATGTGAGGACACTCATTTGGACTACTGTGACCGAACACATCTTACAATAGAAAGGCAGTGTTTCAGACCCTCGTACCTCCATTTCTTATCCTCACAAACACACACGCACTCCTCGCCTCCCTCACTGAGTTCTATTACCGGTCCAGCAGGGGGCATTTACCCACAATGCCATCTCCCAGGGGCAGTGATTATGTTTGGCCGTGTTATCCTGCTGGCTGTAGTCACGGCAACGCAGCATCCGGCTTGCTCGGTAGAGGGTGTGAGCGCTGATCCCATTAACACTGCCTGCATGCTGTGTTCCTGCACTGAACCTGCAGCTCAGAGCTCCTTACTGAAGCCCTGCTGCTTCACACAAAAGCCACGCTGCTCACACACACACATATACACACACACACACACACACACACACACATATACACACACACACACACACACACATATACACACACACACACACACACATATACACACACACACACACACACAGACACACACACACACACACACATATACACACACACACACACACACACACACACACACACACACACACACTCTGACTCACACTAACACTTTTTTTTACATTTTTATGCACTCTGCCCTTTACAGTGTTACACTGTGTTTGATGGGATCTATTAGCAGAAATGGATATTATACAAAACCATGTTTTCATTAGTGTATAATCACCTGTAACGATGAGTCATTGTGTTTTCATTTGCTCAGAATGAGCCCTTCATATCTACATAGGGTTTCTACAGTAGCCCAGAATGGACAAACCAAACACTGACTCTAGAGGGCGCCTTTTGTGTCTTCGCGCTGAAGCGGCTGCTTGAATTTGGTGCCGCTGTAGCTCCGGTTGGAAGACGTAGAAAACGGAAGAGTCAGTGGCTTCTGCCGGTGCTGGCTGAGCATTTTGTGTTGTGAGAAGTTTGAGAACCCAAATTTAGACGATTAGAGGATCGGACGTATTATTTAGCACAAAAAAGTGAGAGAGGGAGGATCCTCACCGACAAAGAAGAGAAAACATGAAGCTAAACTAAATCAGGACAGGCGATGGTGGAAAACCTGATGGCAACCTTAGGTTCTACTACATGCTTGGAAAGGGAGGGGTGAGGGAGGGGGATTCAGCTGGTTGCAGTCTGCAGTCTCACCACTAGATGCCACTAAATCACACTGCATCTTTAACATGACACAAACAAAATGACCAACAGAAATGGTCCAAAATGAGAATATTTATTTTTAAGTCCGCCTCCTTGTTTCTACACTCACTGTCCACTTTATCAGCTCCACTGACCGTATAGTTCCACTCTGTAGTTCTACAGTTACAGACTGTAGTCCATCTGTTTCTCTGCATACTTTGATACCCTGTTCTTCAGTGGTCAGGACCCCCATGGACCCTCACAGAGCAGGTACTATTTGGGTGGTGGATCATTCTCAGCACTGCAGTGACACTGACGTGGTGGTGGTGTGTTAGTGTGTGTTGTGCTGGTCTGAGTGGATCAGACACAGCAGTGCTGCTGGAGTTTTTAAACACCTCAGTGTCGCTGCTGGACTGAGAATAGTCCACCAACCAAAAATATCCAGCCAACAGCGTCCTGTGGGCAGCGTCCTGTGACCACTGATGAAGGACTAGAGGATGACCAACACAAACTGTGCAGCAGCAGATGAGCTATCGTCTCTGACTTTACATCTACAAGGTGGACCGACAAGGTAGGACTGTCTAATAGAGTGGACAGTGAGTGGACACAGTGTTTAAAACTCCAGATGAACAATAACCCTGACCATTTAAATAAAGTCATAGCGTTCTACATATAATTGATTAGTGTACATAATTATTTGACGGATCAGGTGTGGATGTAACTCCTTGCCTATGTCTTGATAACGATCAGTAAAGGTAGCATGACATGCTAATGCTAACAAGTCATGAAACTCCAAGGAACAACTTTGAGTCCTTACGATGGAAATCTGACTCGATAATATAACTGGGTCACTGTGCTAAAGAGGGCCTTTTGACTCATTTCTGGGCTTCTTATCCCAAGAATCTAACTCATCTTTTGCACTTCAAAACAAAAGAAAAATTCTTTCAAATCCAACTGCACTGATCTGAAAGTGAGTATCCCAAAAAGAATGGAATCTGAAGTAAAGGTAATAAGTGGACAAACAAAACACTGAAAAAATGGCATTATTTGTTGAGGCTTCTGTGTAAATTTTCTGTTATATATATGTTTTCTACTTTTATCTGATGCTAAAAAAAGAATAACTTGTACACACCTGGGCAAAAAAATGGGCCGAGCCCAAAATATAACAGTGTTTACTGAGGGTTCTGGCTGGTCAGAGTCCAGATTTAAACCCTGTAGTGAATATTTGGTCTCATATTAAACTCAAACCAGCTCAGCAGTGTTTTCCAGCTGTGTGAAGCCGTCAGTGCTGAGTGGATCAATACTGACTCTTCTTTCTATGAAAGACTGTCTGAACATTCACAAACTAAACTACAACACTGAAAGACATCAAAGGGAAAAGCTCTCCATATTAACTTCATCTGTTTGTTTACTGATTTGTTGTTGAGACCATTAAAACCTTGATGTTCAGCCACTTTGGTGGCGTCTTGTACTTAACGGTTGACTGAATATTAAGTAAACAAAAGTGTGCTACTAAAACTGGTGTAAAATGAAGCTTTTTTCATCGTCCAGGCAGAATGAGTATCTGAGTATCGTACGTTTCTCTCATTCTCTTCCAGATCGGGATGATAAAGGTGGCGGCCGGTAGGATGGCGATTAAGGTGGTGGACTGTGCCATTCAGGTCCACGGGGGTGCAGGAGTGTCTGATGACTTCCCCCTCGCTCAAATGTGAGTACATTTACATTTATCAGATGCTCTTATCCAGAGCGACTTACAGTTTGATCGTTTTACCCAGGTAGGTGAAGGTAGTGTTAGGAGTCTTGCCCAGGTGGGGATTGAACCCCAGTCTACAGTGTAGAAGGCAGAGGTGTTACCCACTACACTACACCAACCAACAGAGTCGGACAGTCTAAACATTTCCTTCACATGATTTCTGTTCGTAGTTGAGGATGTAATTTTATCGGTATCTTTATTAGACGTCTTGGTCATTGATTTGTGTGTATATATGTGTATATATATATATATATATATATAAAGATAAAACCTGGATGAGTGCAGACAGGTGTACTAGGTGTGATACAGTTAAGCAGTTAACCTCCTTCCATGCTCTGTGACGTATAGCAGTGTACCATGTTTTGGGCTCCTGAACTTCAGCAGTAATCAGTTGCAGAGCTTCACCCCGCAGCCCGAGTGAGGATCCAGTACGGGAGGAGCTGTTAGCAGCCATGCTGGGAATACATGCTGTCCAGCGCCTCGTTAGCGTGACATTCACTGCTGTGAGTGAGCGGGTCGGCAGGCGCCCAAGCAGAGATAGGATTCATTTCCACATTATAACAGTGTGATTAAAAAGTATACACACAAAATGTACACACTGTAAATAGTTACATTTTTTAAAGAGAATAAATGTTTATATTGGGCTGTTTTAGGTTCATTCGTACAACGACTTTTGTGTTGAAGAGCCTGAATTTGGGGGGGACTGGTGGGTTTTCTGAAGTAGAGAAGCAGAGAGCTGTGTTTCTTCTCGCTGTGTTTTCAGCAAATTAAAAATAAAGCTGCATTTCGGATCGTAACGTGGAGTCGTCTAAGTTGCTCCCGGGAACCCTGAACGTTACAGCATTTTGCAATTTTGTAAATCCTTATTTAGCACGAAAAAGAAGAGCCTTTCCTGTTCCAGCATGACTGAGCCCCAGAGCACAAAGCAGCTCCATAAAGGCCTGACTGGGGGAGTTTGGTGTGGAAGAACTCGACTGGCCCTCACAGAGTCCTGACCTCAACCCCATCACACACCTTTGGGATGAACTAGAACGGAGATTGTGAGCCAGACCCTCTCGTCCATCATCAGTGTCTGACCTCACAAATGCTCTTCTGGATGAATGGGCAGAAATTCCCACAGACTCTCTCCAACATCTTGTAGAAGCTTCCCAGAAGAGTGGAAGCTGTTAGAGCTGTAAAGGGGACCAACTCCATATTAATGCCTATGGGTTTAGAATGGGAGTCATAAAAGCTCCTGAAAGGTGTAACGTGTAGGTGTCCCAATACATTTGTCCAAGCAAGAGAATGGTCAGGGGAACGCTTACGGAAGGACCGTGATTAGAAAGAAAACACAGGTTTAGGTTCTCTGGAACCTTAATTACCTTTGTTTTTTAAGACTACTAATAATGTGTGTAACTGTGTCCAGGTATGCTTATGCCCGGACGCTGCGTTTAGCTGACGGCCCTGACGAGGTTCATCTGTCCTCCATCGCCCAAATGGAGCTCAGGGATCAGCTCAGACGAATGGCTGCCAAGCTGTGAACAACCTGACCGCAGTGTTTCCTCATGGACGCCGGAGACCGTCTAACAGCCTCTCAGAAACATAGTAGTGTGTAATTAGCCAGGTAACAGATACAATCAGCTCTTACTGTCATCGACTCAAATAATTCAAATATTTGACTCGAACATCGTTGATTGAACATCGTCCTCAAACAATGACTGATTAGGCAATATTCCTGTCCTTTATGTATCATCTGTCTTACACTGAAACTCTGCCTTTACATTGATTTCTTCATGAGCTCTGAGTGCTCACAATACACTTCACCTCAATTTGACAAACGGTCACTAACCTAGAATTAATGGTCGGGTCAATGCAGCAATCTGTATAATCAGGAAATACCTCAAACACTAAATCAGCCTGTAGTGAAAACTACAGTATTGACTCAACCAATACGAAGACTGCAGCGTTTAATCTGGTTATGCTGAACCTTCAGCGGTGTGTTCAGTTTCCCATCAGTCGCTCTGTTGTAGCAGATCTGTGAGCAGATTCTTGGCTGATTGTACAACAGTACACAGCAACTGTAGAGGTTTTCAGTGATGCTGTATTTTAAGGAACACACTGAGTGGAAAAACTGCATCTTTCATTGGTTTTCCCACTAAAAATAAGTTCTCCACAGGGAACAAAACATTAAACAAAAAATATTGTGCCATAACTTTCGCAGAGGCCACATTTTATGTTTTATTTTTTCCCTTATACGTAAAATTCAGCAAATAAACAGAAGAAGTGCATTAAAATTTACAGAAGTTTGTTCTCTATAGTGTTAACCCTTTTTTTCACCAGGGGCGCCTAAACTTTTGCATACAGCTGTATTGTTTACAGAATAGTTTCAATTTCAACCTATTTTAACAACCAAATAATAAAACTACATTTTTCTATGGTTTTGCAGTCACAGAATTATGAATATGTACTAAATTTTCACATTGATTTACTGAAAACATGTTTTTGGCAAAAAATTAGTGACTAAAACTGCACTTTAGAATATGGAACAAATCTTGAAGTATTATTGGCTTATAAAATTCTTATTAGCTCTAAATTATTATTGATCTTATTGCTCATAAATAAAGCAATAAACCTGACACTACCTGGAACCCATGGGGATCAAATGATGCCAATTTCACACCTCAAATTTAAGAAATAGTTCATACTCAGTATTTTGCATAACAAGATCTTTTGTGTTTATAGTGCATTATTACAACTAATAGGGCAATTATTTGTGATTTTCACATAACAGACCTCTGATTATGCAGGTCCTAATGAATAAACCATGGATGCGTCTTATTTGGACTTTTCTGGACAAAAAAACAAAACCCTAATTAAGCCTCAGTGTGTTCCTTAAAATAAAGTGTTCAGGTTTTGCTTGTAGAAGGAAAATGTAACTGAATGATAAATAGATTTTTATATGAACTTAATTCTTACTGCTTTTCACTTCTCTGATTACTTATGAAAAAACAATGTCAATAAAATTTGATTCAATCAATTTGATGAACTACTTTTTTTCACTCACACACATATAAACACACGTACACATATAATTCTGGGCTAAAGTCAGAGAGCAGCCTTTGTTTATTTAATTTACAGACAAAACTGCCAATAAGAACAAGTTATTTATTTTTCAGGAGATATTTTTGAGGAGATTAGATATTAGACAACCACTTGCATAAGAAATCTGCTTTCATAAGTTTTTGTTTTCAGGACAAACAACAGAAAAACGACCTACATTGTCTGACCAACGAAATGGTACTTACTTTACAGTGTCTTTTGGACTCTGAAAGGCAAAAGCATTTCTTTTTGGTTACTGAGGTGATGTTTAGGGTCAGGTTTAGTGAGACGCTCAGATACTTCTTATTATATAAAAGTACTGTGCCTTGTCATCAGGAGATCGCGAGTTCAAACCCTGGTGATGCTACAGCCATGGGGTCCGAGAGAGCACAATTGGCCTCGCTCTCTCTGGGTGGGCAGGATGGCCCCATCACCCAATGATTCAGTATGAGAGAATTCACTTGCTTTAAGGAGGAGCAAAGTCAGAAGACCTGGAGGAAATAGGGCTCCTAACAACCACCTGGAAGACCTGGTCGACCCCAAAACTGCCCCCATCAGATAAACAGCACTGAAAGCTTTTGTCTCTGAGAGAGAGGAGAAAATCAAGCTGATCAGATCTGAAAACATCCACAGGTGTTTCTGTCCATCCTTCCACTGTGAGAAGACGACTCAGCGCTGTGGGTCTGAAAGGATGTGTAGCTGATCAGGAAGAACCTCACTGAGAAAAGGAGACGGACACATCAAACAAAGAAGCTGAACGATGGACTGACCACCCCAGAGTCCAGACCTCAACACCACTGAATGTGTTTGATTACTTCAGAAAATCATCAACCAGCTTCTAAGACTGAACTTTGGAGGTGTGTCTGCAGATTCTTTGAGGAGCTGAAAGTGAGTCTCTTGTAAAGAACGGAAGCTGGAATAAAGGTGAAGAGTGGATTGTGTAATTATATATTAATTGTATTTTTTCGTTGAAAATAATGAGTCACTTGTAGTTCGTGGCTGTTTTGACCAAAACTAAATGAATGCTGGGTGGTGTGTGTGACTCACACTGCTGTATGTGCACACAGACTGAGACTGTTCATCAGTTCTAGTATGTCAGTGGACGTATGTTTCTCGGAAGCTCGGTTCCCTCTGGGCTCATCGTCTTCCGTTCGCCCTTCATTAAATCATATGAGGAATGGATGCAGGCAGAGCTCTTCAGCAGATGTGTGGATGGGGGTGAAAGCGCGTGAACGAGACAGCAGGAAGCGCATATTTATATATTTACAAAGCAAGACTGGATTAGTAGGACAGTGTGGCTGAGCTTCAAATACTCGCTGTCTCAGTGGTTGACAGATGAATGAGGCCGTGAGTAGCTGCAGAACCATTTAAGGTCAGAGTGGTTCTTCTCTGATTTGTCATTTCTGATCTCATCACTGGTACGTGGTCTGGCTGTGCTCAGCATGTTCCACGTCCCCCTTCTCCATGTGTCCCTTTATCTCTCTAGGGCGGTGGTGCGCATGATATGTTGACCTCAAAGGGCTTTTTTATTGATTTGAGTTTGTATTTAATAACTTACAAATCTTCTGATTTATCGTCACTGAAAATAATATCTCCAAATGTTCTTCACGTTTTGCTGCTGTCGCAACAAAACCTCATTATCTCCAAAATGGCAACTTTACAGCAGAGTTTTTGATATGTTGTGTTAAACCAAGCAAAGACTAAACGTCAGTCAAAGCTTGAAGCTCCTTCATTGTTGCTGTTCAGTTTGTATGCTGTCAGCCATCACTGTGTCCCAATTCAGAGGCTGATTGCGTCACAGCGGCGCGACTAGGCCGTCCCATTTCGAAGGCTTCTTTATATGCAGCCAAGAAACGTGTCCTTCTTTTCCATGGCAATGAAGGATCCGACGGGTGGATCCTTCACCAGCCAACGTATCCCGAGGTTCACTGCATATGGGCGAGGATTCGAGAACATGGCGGCGTCAGCGGCTGAGGAGACACTTTAAATGTAAGTATTGGGTTTAAACTGAGTTGAATAGCTAAAGATACAAATGTTAAAAAAGCCAAAATAATCAGGCTAAGATAAATCACACCGCGTCGGCGCTGAAGCCTCTCCAGCTCTTATAAGTGGAAAAAAAAAACTAAAATCAAAGTTTCTCCATCTTTAAAGAACCTTAAAAGAGCTTGACAGGAGCGGCGGAGGGCGGAACAGCAGTGCTGTGACGCAAACAGGAAACCCGCCGTAGAGCAGAGCGTCTCATTTCAGTTCAGCCTTCGCGGGTCTACACAGCCTTTAAAGGACACGCCTTCGTAGACCACGTCCTTCAAAGGATGCAGCCCCTGAATTGGGACACATTGCATGTGCAGCCTCCAGATAACCCCACCTACTTCTACAGATCTGCTGTGTGATGGGAAACAGACACAGGTACGAAGGTTAGCCCAGTGACAAAGGTCATGTTGTTTGTCATTTGATTTGTTCATCTCTTCTTAAACTCTCCTTTAAAGTCTCTTCATATATCATGATCCTCATATGTTTCATATCTAAATGCTCCGTTATCTTCATCACTACTTTCCAAAACCGCTGCAGCAGCTTCAGCAGCTGTAAACTCTCTGCACGCCGTTTCACATGAGTCTCCGATGTGGACTGAATGAAGAATGAAGGGTTTCTGGCGTGATGGTCAGTCCTTAGTGATTTCCTGAGTGTCCATTGGTCAGTTTCACACAGAATGTAGACGGACACACGAATCCACCAGTTCCACACGGTGAGAGGCAGATGACGTGTATCTCAGCCCCTCTTCATAGGCTCATAACTCCGGATGTGAGTCTCGTATGATCTCGTGATAAGATGGAATGGAAAGGGCGACTCTACAGATTCAGGAAGTGTTTGATCTGGATTTCTGAGCTGGATCATCACAAAGATACAGACACAGATATAGAAACAGAGAATTTAACACATGGGTGAGTTCATGGACCCCAGAGGGTAAATGGTCCCTAAGTCAAATAGAAGTAGAACAATGAAATGCAAAACAGTAAATGACAACTTTAATACCAGAAATCTTCACTGACGTGTCACCATTTAAAGCACGATATAGATACATTTACATCAGCAGTAAGTGGCCTTAAATGATTCAAATATGTAGTTTGAAGGCTTTTTTTATTGAAAAATGTACATGGTACCTGTAAATATGCCTGATAAAGCACTGCATATAAACCTATATTATTTATTATTATATTAGAAAAACAATCCATCTGTTTATATTAGCTTCATAAAAAGAGTAATATAAAAACAATATCAACTTTGTTACATATAAATGACTATGAATGCTTTTGTATGTTCTTGGTATGTTCTCAGTTCGGCCTGTTTTCTCATAGAAATCATTTGCATAGCACCTGTTTTGTGCAGATTTGCTGAAATATGAGTTCTGTTCTACTAGAAATGCCTTATACATGCATAGATCAGCTTGTTTTGCACAAATTCTGCATCATATATAATGCTGCTCTATATAAGAATATAAGAAAAATGCATAATTGATCCATTCCAGTGCCATTACTGTTGATAGTACAGAGAGAAATGTTTTGTGTGTTTTATTGTCCTGATGGTGGATCTGTGGGCGTGCTGTGCCCAGAAGAAGGACAGATGCATGAATTTTATAATTTTGAAGTGCTAACTGAGTGACAGTGGCTGTTAGTAGATACTGACCCTCAGTTAACCCTCCTGACTGACTCACGATTATATTTTACCACCTTTAAATATGAAAAGCCTACAGGACGGCAGCCTCTAAGTGTGAATATAGTTGGTGTGCTTGTTTTTTGACTTCTTCTACGGACGTCCCGTCTCACGAGCAGACCACGGCCTTTGTGCTCTTCTTCTTTTTGGCCGCACTTCTCCTGGACCTCTGCTTCACGGTCTGAAACAAACAGACACAACTTAGGACTTTGATATATTCAACCAAATGGAATTTTTCTGTCAAATAAGTTTAGGATTAGGATGAGGGCCAGGGTTTGGGTAAGTTTGGGTTTTGAGGAAGATTGGGTAGGGTTAGCTTTTGGGTATGATTAGGTAAGGCTGGGTTTTGGGTAAGGTTAGGTTTTGGGTAAGGTTGGGTAAGTTTGGGTTGTGGTTAAGGTTGGGTTTTGGACAAGGTAAGGTTTGGTTTTGGGTAAGGTTGGGTTTTGGACAAGGTAAGGTTTGGTTTTGGGTAAGGTTGGGTTTTGGACAAGGTAAGGTTTGGTTTTGGGTAAGGTAAGGTTGGGTTTTGGGTAAGGTTGGGTAAGGTTAGGATCAGGGTCAGGGTTAGGTTTTGAGTAAGTTTGGGTTTTGAGTAAGGTTGAGTAAGGTTGGGTTTTGGGTAAGGTTCGGTAAGGTAAATTTGGGTTTTGGGTAAGGTAAGGTTGGGTTTTGGGTAAGATTGGGTTTTGGATAAGGTTGGGTTTTGGGTAAGGTTGGGTTTTGGGTAAGATTGGGTTTTGGGTAAGGTTGGGTTTTTGGTAAGGTTGGGTTTTGCTTAATGGACGTAACATATTAAGTCCATTTCATGTAACAAATCAAGAATCTGGTGAATATCTGACTTCAGCTTCATATCACTGAAGAATTAGGGGTGGGTGATAATAAATAATTGCCCCCCTCTTTGAAGATCGTATGATTCCCTAAATGTAACTAAAGCCCAGCAGTGAGGAGCTGAACTTTACCCTCATCTGCTGTCACTGCAGACTGGCAGGGTCGCCTACAGAGCAGCGCTGGTAGCTGTTAATGAAGTGATGCTCTTTTTATTTGAGGGAAGATCTCAACCACTACCCTGTAACTCAGTTCCAAGGGGTTAGGGTGACATTTTGTTTCCTAACATAATATAATGGCACAAACGTCCGAATACTTTTGGGGGCCGCTGTATGTGCTGTGTGCAGTTTTTCTGATATGTTTTGTAAATTGTCTAACAGTTGGTTACGGTTAGATTTTGTGCTCAAGCTGATGGTTAAAGGTTACACCTATGGCTGTGCTTATGTCATAATTACGGTCGCAGGTTTAGCTTTTGGATTAGACAGATTTAGCTACACCAACACTGAGGATGATGATTAGTCCTCGTAAGTACAGTAATCTGTGTGATGACTCATTAGTTTCTCGTATACCTTTAATGGAGGCATGTGTGGGGTGGCAGCTCCAGTGTGTCTCCGAGCTCGCACTATCTGTAACAGAAATCCAGCAGAATGCTTACAGAAACGCTTTATAGCGGTTAAAGCAGTTAAATAAGTCATTCTGAATGTGCTTCAAAGTGCGTTTTGTGATGGAAAATAACATGAACACTCATAGTTTTGAGGCACAGAGGCCGAGGAAACATCTGCTGAGCATTTAGAGCCAAAAGGACAAAAGGAAGCATCACTTTTGCTTTCAAGGATACAGTGGAGCTTATTGGTTCATTGTGAGAGAAGACAGTCTTGACTGGGGTCGTTACCACGGATACGCACCTGCAAAGGGATCGATGGGTTGTGTTTGAGCAGCGAGTAAGTGCCGACTCGTGATTTGCGAGTCACATGTTTCTTCTTATTGCTGGTCAAATGACGCCTCGATCTGTCAGCCTGAAACAGTAGAACACAATATTAATGTTGAAACAGTGAAGGAGCTTCAGGGCCGTTTAGACCTTCAGAGGAGACCTAATGATTTCTGTTAAATTAAAAAATATAAATATATGCAAATTTGTTTGTGTAATTTTTTAGCATTTAAGTAAATCCCCCCCACCCCACCCCCCAGCTGTGGGAACCGTGGGTGTGTGTATGTGTATGTATGTGTTCTGTGTTATGTATTGTTCATTATGTACTTTGATACTTTTTGATTGTAAAGCATCCTTGAGCAGAGGAAAGGCAATATATGCATAAAAGTGATGATGATGATGATGATGATGATGTACTTAAACTCAGCAAGGACTGCTATAAATCTCTTATTTTACTGATGAATTTCGGTTGAAGGAAATCTTGAAATGCCCAATGAAAAATTGTCCACTCAGTATGTATTTTTCTCTGTGGTATATAGGTGGACACAGCCAGGCTAGCTATCCCATTGGATAGGCCTTCAGAAGCTGAACCAGGGGCCTTAAATGCCTGACCTCTGTGTTTCAGCAGCAGCTCTAAGCCAGAGCGCCTCACTGAAGACGTCACAATCATAGCAGAAGTAAACTCCACATAAATACAGTGCTAACATGCTACTAGCATCCCATAGGGGTGCTACCAGAAATTAGCCTTATCATAAAGGCTCCAGTCGTCACAGTTCGCCACTAAGTATAAAACATCTCCTTTCAAACAAAAACAATGTGTTGAGCTTGATTTAAAGGTATATAATGTACATTATTTCGACATAAAATTATAGTGTGGAGAGCGTCAAATGTTATGTTTCACTTTTGTAAACAAGAATCAGACTAATCAGACTAAAATAGTTTGTGAAATTAAAAAAACAATAATAATGAAATAATCTCATGCAAATAATTCCACTCAAATTATTTGATCTCAGCAGAAAAAGTCTGATCTGTTTTGTTTATTTTCCGTCTCTGAGCTTGTTAGATCTGATATTTTGCGGTTTCAGCTGGAAGCAGTGTGTAGTCTTCTCTTCATTTCACACACCTGAATGAGGGTGTTGGGAAAGCCTTTGGCTGAAAATGTTCCGGGTAGGCTGGCTTGGTCCACGTGACCTCTTCTCTCAGTGTCTAGGTCAGTGTGTCGCCGGACCCTCATCTGAAATGAATGCAAAAGACAAACACGTCCCTTAGATTAGATCCCAATTCATTCATATTCATATTTATTGTTTCACAATGCAGGTGATACTATAAACATATGCCACGATCTTACAATAATAATTGAAACACACTCCATATAAATACAGTACACTGTCTTATAACAGATGTAGACTCCATATAAATACAGTACACTGTCTTATAACAGATGTAAACTCCATATAAATACTGTACACTGTCTTATAACAGATGTAAACTCCATATAAATACAGTTTACTGTCTTATAACAGATGTAAACTCCATATAAATACAGTTTACTGTCTTATAACAGATGTAGACTCCATATAAATACAGTTTACTGTCTTATAACAGATGTAAACTCCATATAAATATGATATATAGTCTTATACCAGATGTAAACTCCATATAAATACTGTACACTGTCTTATAACAGATGTAGACTCCATATAAATACAGTACACTGTCTTATAACAGATGTAAACTCCATATAAATATGATATATAGTCTTATAACAGATGTAAACTCCATATAAATACTGTACACTGTCTTATAACAGATGTAAACTCCATATAAATACAGTACACTGTCTTATAACAGATGTAGACTCCATATAAATATGATATATAGTCTTATACCAGATGTAAACTCCATATAAATACTGTACACTGTCTTATAACAGATGTAAACTCCATATAAATATGATATATAGTCTTATAACAGATGTAGACTCCATATAAATACAGTACACTGTCTTATAACAGATGTAAACTCCATATAAATATGATATATAGTCTTATACCAGATGTAAACTCCATATAAATACTGTACACTGTCTTATAACAGATGTAAACTCCATATAAATATGATATATAGTCTTATAACAGATGTAAACTCCATATAAATACTGTACACTGTCTTATAACAGATGTAAACTCCATATAAATACTGTACACTGTCTTATAACAGATGTAAACTCCATATAAATACTGTACACTGTCTTATAACAGATGTAAACTCCATATAAATACTGTCTTACAATGAATGTGTTGCCAAAAATGGGTAATTGATGTGGTTATGCTGATCTAGGGGTCCCATATTAGCACAACAATAAACTTAGCAGACTTCAGGAAGTCAAAGTTGCAATTTCTTGAACACAGAATTATTGAAGGAATAAATGTAAACATAAATAATAAATACTATTAAAATAGATCATTTTGTACTTAAATTAATAAATATGTTTCACGGGTCCTGAAGTTTGGGTTTAAAGAAGCTGCTGTTCTTTCTCTTATCAGTTTGCTCTTGCTCTCACTCTCTTACTCACCCCACCACCCCCACCCCACCCTCCCACCCCCACCCCACCCTCCCACCCCACCCCCCCCCATCACCCTAACACTCATTTTCTGTTGGCTAAATTGAACATCAAACAAGTCTATGATGTGTGATGCTTTTCCTTTATTAAGCAACACCACAATTTTCTTTAACAAGCAATCTATTGACTCTGGCCTCCACACTCATTAAAGCTAAATTAAAAGAGATGCAATTACTTAACCACGAAACATTATTACCACCTCATTTCTGCAGCACAGAGACTGTGATCTTTAGTTAGGCTGTTCTTGGACAGAATGAAACAGAAGCGCTTGCCTTCAGTCTAAGTCCGCTTAGATAAATTTGTTATGTCATCGGGGCTGTACAGACTCTGCCCTGTGTGTAAGCCAACATGACCTCTTCATAAAAGCAGCAGCCCTCTTAACAGATTAGCAAAAACAGAAAAGGAGCAAGAAATTAGCACTTGTTCGACTGGAGGAAATTACTTCGACCCTAAGGGTCACCCTTGAGGCACGCCAAGCTTTCTCGACATTGCGTGTGCATGTTTGTGTCGCTGTGTTAATTCTGGATATGAGAAAACAGAAGGACGGGGAGGGGGACCTTCACATGAGTGGAAAGTCAAACAGGACACTGGCTCATGGCAATGCCACGGAAAGTTGGAGACGTTTTCCTCCCTTCGGGGTATTTTTGGTAACCAGGCTGGTAGAGGCTCAGACGCCACAACAGCAGGACTGAGAGCAAGGAGCTAATTCACATCTGCCAAAGTGGTTAAGGAACCCCACTGCACATCTGTTTGATGCCTGCACTACTGCCTTTAATGTCTGGATATGTCTAACACCACCCTACAGCAGCCCACTCCGCTGCCCCGTTCTGACGCACTTTTACAGGAACGGAATGATTGAGCATTCCAGCGCACTTAGCGTCGGATACTATAGACCACAAACTCCTACTCCACGGATCATTGCCGGTTCCAAATGTTGCGTTCATATCGCCGTGATCTGTGTTGGCGTGTGCAACTCTTTGCTGTAGTCTTAAACCAACAATCACTCATTTTTAAAGCTACGCTCTTAAAAATAGAGGTTCCTAAATGATTCTTCACTCTTAAAAAAGACGGTTCTTTAGTAAAGGGGGTGTTTCTATTTAGAACCATGAGTTCAACTCATGGGGAATGTGTTGTACATGAAAATGGTTCTATATAGCACCAAAAAGGGTTCTGCTATTGCTACAGTGTCAGTTTTGCAGCAGCAGAAGAACCCTTTTTGGTGCTTTATAAACATTCAACACATTCTCCATCAATCTGAAGAACCATGCCACCATGCAAAGAACCATTCAAGCATGAAATATTCTAACTCATGCTTCTAAATAGAACCATTTACTAAAGAACCTGATGTGGAACCTGCTTTAACCCCTTAAAATCTAGGTTTTATTGCATACTAAGGCTTATTATTCAGTAACTACATGGACTTCAATGCAAACTGGCTGAGCTGTTCTTAGGTGTGTAGTAAAAAAGGTTCTTCATGTCATTTACAAAAACGGGTCTTGTTCCATCTATTGAAAGGTTATTTATGGGAGCCAAAGCTGCTCCACTATGTTAAAGAACCCTGCTGTATTTTTGTCATTTTTAAGTAATGTATGGTAAGTATACGCATGACAGATTCTCAAAGATAAAGCCTTTGAGTCGTTCCAAATGCAGCTGTGCCACTACACCACCAAAATAACAGAGTTTTTGTTCTCCATTACATTGGCAACATTGTCTGTGTTGGAACTTCAGATCCTCAGTGTGCCTCCAGAACCGCTTAAACTCTTAGAACCACTCAGCAGCTCCAGACTTCCATCAGTTCACTCTCACAGCCACACAACCTACGTTAGTTTCATAGTGTTACTGAACGATTTATAGTACCCTCTTTAAAAAGACGCTTTTTCAAGGGCTCTTTAGTAAAATGGTTCTATAGGTTCTATATAGAACCATGAACACTCAAAGAACCATTTGCAGGCTTAAATGGTTCTTTGCATGGTGAAACGGTTCTTCAGACTGAAGGAGAATGTGTTGAATGTGTATAAAGCACCAGAAAGGGTTCTTCTACTGTTGCAAAATTGACACTGTAGCAATCGCAGAACCCTTTTGGTGCTTAATAGAACCATTTTCATATACAACACATTTCCCATCAGCTGAACTCTAATCTCAGTTAGTTCTAAATATAAACATCACCAAAAAGCGTTCTATGGTGACAGTTAGAACAATAGAAGAACCCTTTTCAAAAAGTTTGTATATAGAACTGCCAGACTGGTTCTCCATCAGTCTGAAGAACCATTTCACCATTCAAAGAACCATTTAAGCATGCAGATAGTTCTTTTCACTGTCTTTACTAAAGAACCCTTGAAGAACCGTCTTCTTTCAGAAAGTAGTTACTGGAAGATGCAGCTTAAGCTTAATAACCGAATCACAGGAGTTTGAGGGGTTAAAGATCATCTGCCACTACAGTTTAACATGAAGAGCATCGACAGACTCGCAGCTCAGCCTGAGAAAAGCATGTAAAGTGAGTCGTGACAGGATGTGTGATAAAAAGCTCCGCACTAATGAAGCAAGCTTTTAAACGGTCGTCAAAGCCCTTACCTCGACCTCGCTGACCTCCCCGCCGCCGCAGTCCCTGCCTCCATCGGCGCAGTCGAGAGCCTGTGTGAGCAGGTAGCCCTGCAGGCACAGCAGACAGAGCCACAGCGCTGTACTCATGGCTGTGAGACGGAGAGAGACGGAGGGTGTGTTAGTCAGGCAGAGAGTGTGGGAGACTGTCAGATCGGCACTTTTCTGTCTGTGCTTTTATACTCCAGCCTTAATGGAGACCAGATGGGAGACGAGGAGGAGAGGCCATGCTAAACACACTCAAACGCACTCGTTTTTATACAAAGTAAGGACATGGGGTCCTATTATCGCCGTCTGAAGAAAAGCAAGTATCTCCAAACTGTCAAATTAACAGGAGAAGGAAAAACCTTGTGGACTTTTCATGTAAGTCAATGGAAAGAGATTTTATTTCAGGCAGTTTTGAAGCATTTCTATTGGTCCATTCATCATGAGATTTTCACACAATGTCAAGGAGAGCTGATTTTGTCCAATTATGTCCTATAAATAATCCTCACCTCTCACTCGAAGCCCTACACACTTCATGCCTTTTTGTCTTAAGTTAAGATCTGATGGGTCCAGATAAGATTTTTCACAAATTCGTATTACTTATCTTACAGCATCTTATCTCCAGTTAGGAAACCTTAACCTGCTTGATCAGAGTCAACAATCATCTGTCATGTCTGTTTCCTAGCAACCGACCGTAAACACACCGCTGAAATGTAAACACGTCATCAAAATAATCAACTTAGTTATCCGGACAGCTACAATTATTGATGTAAAAATGGTTAAAACACAGCTAAAGTGTGATAAACTGTGAGTTGTGAATACTGTGAGAGCGCCCCCTGCTGTTTATCAGAGCGTCGCCGCTCCCCAGTTTCAGTCTCCATTTCCCAAACGCTTTAGCTGAGCGCGCTAACGTTACTCCTCCTAATAAACACACGTTCAGCTCCGCCTCCTCATTATTCACCACCATCACTGTAATATTTCCTCATCAACATTAACACACGAAGGTGATCAGAGGGGCGGTGGAGATCGAGTCTGCAGCGTCTGAGATCTTTAAAACGCAGAGTTAGAAAAGAAAATCATCTCACAGTGAAAGCAGCGTTTTACAGTAGAAATAAATGGAGCTCATTATGCTGGTAGTGAACTATGCTGCTGACTCAGCTGCCTAAAAACCATAGAAACGGACCTTAAACAGAAGTGAGGACCCTGTTGGGGTTCATCCTAAAGTTAGGACAGGATTTAGGAGGTTCAGTCTAGTTAGGATGTTTGTGTGATGCTGTTTTCTTATCTGGAGTTCATGATGAGATTATGAAGGTAGGGACTCTTATTCTGTAATAGCTACTGTCCGAAATTCAGTCCAGACTGAAGTCGTCATGGAGACTAAACAGATCAGATTTCAGAAATAAGAAGTTTCTATAATACAGCTCCACATAACCAAACTGAAGCTTTTATTTTGGACACCAGTTCATTGGAAAAGACCATAATGTCTGGAAGAGCTGAAGGAGAAAGAGAAAGAGGACGACCAGCTACAAGATGGATGAGGACAATCAGAGGAATGATGTAGCAGCCATTGACAAGCCTGGAAATCCAAACAGAAGACAGGATGTTCTGGAGAAACAGAGTCCAGATGGTCACCAGGAGTCGGAAATGACTTGAAAGCACTTAGTAGTAATAATAATAAAGAAGTCACAGTTATAACAAATAATAACCTCTTATATCCAAAATAGCAACTTTATAGGAGAAGGAAAAACATTCTTAACTTTTACCGAAATGAGAATTTGGACCAGTTCTAGTCGACCTCTCATAAGATCACAGTGAAAAATGTAATTTAGGGTGCAAATTCAGAGACAACCCTTCATTTATTTACATTCTAGGCAAAACAGCCATTACAAACAAATCAGAGAACATATTAAACTGAAAATTTAATTGAAGCCTCAACAGCCAAATCGACTCTCAGCTGTGAGTCTGTGAGTCTCTCTCCCTTTATTCCAGCTTCCATTCTTCTCAGGAGCCTCACTTTCAGCTCCTCAAAGAATCTGCAGACACACCTCCAAAGTTCAGTGTTAGAAGCTGGTTGATGATTTTCTGAAGTAATCAAACACATTCAGTGGTGTTGAGGTCTGGACTCTGGGGTGGTCAGTCCATCGTCCAGCTTCTTTGTTTGATGTGTCCGTCTCCTTTTCTCAGTGAGGTTCTTCTTGATCAGCTACACATCCTTTCAGACCCACAGCGCTGAGTCGTCTTCTCACAGTGGAAGGATGGACAGAAACACCTGTGGATGTTTTCAGATCTGATCAGCTTGATTTTCTCCTCTCTCTCAGAGATGAAAGCTGTCAGTGCTGTTTATCTGATGGGGGCAGTTTTGGTGGTCTGCCAGGTCTTGCACGGCCATTAGGGTCTCATTGTCTTTCTGTCTTGTCATTTTTTGAACTTCAGTTTTTTGATATTCCTCTTGTACAAAGGAATAATCTTGTTTCTAATCTCCTCAGAAATATTTCCCTTAAAAAATGAAGAGCTTGTACTTAATAGCAAATTTGACTGAAAATTAAATAAATGAAGGTCTGATTTTTTGCACAGTATTGTATATGTAATAAAAATTATCTAAGCGTAACTCTAAATCTGACCCTAACCTCAGTGACCAAAGGGAAGTGCTAAAAAAAAACCTTAAAAATAAGAACCATTTTGTTGGTCCTCACAATGTCTGTCCTTTTTCTGTTTTTTTTGTCCTGGAAACATACAAAAACAAACACACACACACACACACAGATCCTCAGCCATGCTCAGAGTGGACAGCGGACCCCGTTTTTTTCTCACACGCCCCCACAACATCTCTGCCCTCTGATATTCTCGTCCATCGTAGAAGTCCTATAGCCACATGCCTAGAATGCCGCATAAACACTTTCTTTACTGATGCAGATGCACGCTGGAGAAAACGGGCCCAATTAAAGGAGTTGTGGTGCAGAACAGAGCAGTGATTATAGCTGTTCTGTCCCGTATGTCCTCCCCACAGAATGTCACTGAAAGGCTGGCAGAAAGGTTTGTATGGGTTTGGAGGAGTTCCTCTCCAGCTGCATGCTGAAGCCACATAATAGTCACATTCCAGCATTATGGAGACATTGCAGGGTTTCGCTTTGAAGTCGACTGTGCTATAATTCCGAGGGCGTGTAGGAAGACGTGTTTGAAACAATTACGGAAAAATCGTCCAAGCAGATGTGACGTCTAGAACCGAGAGTTAAAACTTGTGCACATACAGCTAAAGTGGTCACACTTTACTGAGGGGCAGTGTTTATGAAGCTGTATGACACCTACATAAGCCTACATAAACGTTTATTAAGGCCTATTCCAAGCATCGGCTGTCATAAAGGCTGCTTTTGTAGGGTGACCAGACATTTTCTGGGGACAGTCCCTGTTTTTGGTGGCCTGTCCCCAGAAATGTCCTTGTTTTTTGCTATGAATTAAAAACACACCGGAAAGCCCTTAAAAAGGCTGGCAGCAGAGCAGATAGGCAGACGTTTCATGTTGTGCTTGTTTTGGCCAGCAGAGGGGGCTACTACTATCTCCTAACCACTTCTACCACTTTCTCGCCTAGTTCTAAAAGATACAGCTGTGCAAAACCCCACCAGAAGCTCGCAAGTGTCACGTGAGTCCACAACATCACCACAAACGCCTTTTCAGGACACAAGGTGACCCAGGGGTTAAAGCAGGGCTGGAATTTCTAAACTGTGTCACTTTTTCAGCCTCCATATTTGACGTACGGCATATGCTGATAGCAGCGTCTCTGTCTGTCCAGCCTGGAGCTGGCCAGGGGTGTGTTTAGATCAGGGGTGTCCAAACTTTTCTCAAAGAAGGCCAGATTATACTATGTCCAAATACCTGAGGGCTGAAATATTATTCACAAATCATTCAAAATATGAAGTTTTTAAAATATCAGCGCATAGAATATGAGCTTTCTGTGAACGATCGTGTTTCCTATCACTGTATAAAAGATGCACAAGGCGTTTTTTTTATTGTTGCTTAATTTGGTTCAGTAAACACAATTAAAAATAATCAAATTATTTAAGAACAACAATAAAACATCTAATGTAGTAATTCCTATTCAAGTTTACTTGTTCAAAAATATAATTTGTGAGACAAACTAAACAAAAATCTATACATTTTAACTGTAGTTAATGTTCTTTACATGTCAAATAAAAGCAACTTCATCATTCAGAGATCACTGTATTAAAGGAGAAGAGCAGATTAATCATCATAATCAGCCGTTATTGTTCCTCCTTAAAGGGTTAATATGTCCTGATCTGCTGAATCTGCTCTGATATGAAGTCGGTGCTGTGAGACTCGGAGCTGCAGCTGCTTTAGTGTCTCTCCTGAATATTTACTGTGATGTTCAGCTGTTTTTCATGTCTGTTGGTATTAAATTCATTACAGTCTTTTGACATATGAGGCTCGTTTTCTGCAGCTCTCAGTGGAAAAGTTTAAATGTCCATCAAACTCCGCGGTTCTCAGTGTCAGTCTGAGCTTTATGGTTGCACTCTAAATGTGGTCAGTAAATGAAGCTACTGGTCAGTCAGAGAAGAAAGGCTGTTAAACTCTAACTAACGTTGTTACCGCAGTGCAGCGTTACACTGTAATCTTACAGAGCTGCTTATATTATAACACACTCTAAAACAGAAGCCATGGGCCGACTTTGGACACCCCTTGTTTAGGCTCTGGCTGTTGGGTCTCTTTTCTGTAGCCACAGGTCTCTTCTTCCATAGTTTACCAGCTTGACTCACCTGGTAGCTACTGTATGATTTTTTATGTATGGACAAAATACATGAAACTAACCCCCCTTTTTTATTTCACAGATAAAAACACTGGATATTTTAATGATTTTTTTGACCGATGAACTGGACATGTGCCCAGTTTTCACTTCAGAAATCTGCTCAACTTATGCCTTTTTCAGTTTCATTGTAACTTCACCTCACTAAGTGTAACTCCTGTTGGAATAAGCCCTGGCATAACTAACTTCCAGCCGCAGTGCCAGCTGGGCAGGCCACAAACACTCAGACCTTCCTCTCTCTCTGTTTGTCTGTCGCTCACTTTGCATTTTGAGTTCAGAGTTGGAGTCTAATACAAAGATTCACTGTCCTGTTAATTCCAGTGCGGAGAAGGGCTGGGTGGAAAGAGCCTGAGTTGCAATATT